AGAAAAAAAAAAAAAAAAAGAGGGAAAGGATGAGTCATTTTACTACCAAAACACGCACCTGTTTCCATTTAGTCACCTGACACTGTGAACAAACACACCTGCACCACTTTAAGACTTTACCATTTTAAGGTTTTTAAAGAAAAGAGTATAAATAAATAATCAACTTTATATCAAATATATGAAGTAAACACACACACACACACACATATATACATAAATCTATATATCTATATATCTAATATCTATATATTATATATTACTATATCTCTTCATATTACGTTCATAACTAAATTTTATATAGATTTTTATCAATAATAAATGTTTAAAATATCAGTTTGTTATAAAATAAACATCATTCCCTAATAATAATAATAATAACAACAACAACAGCATTATTCTTATTTTTAAATATCTTTTTGTAATAAAATCTTAATATAAGGCTTAATAATAATAATAATAATAATAATAAGTTATGTTGCTTATTATTTTGATTTTCAGGATCAATGTATATTTTTTCATATTGGAGTGCGAAATAATCTCAACAAGGTCTCTAATAATAATAATATAATTATTATATAAATAAACATTATTATTATTATTATTATTATTAAAGAGCATGTTATATTAATATTATTACATTACAGACTGTTATTTGAAAATAATAATAATAATAATAATAATATAAAAAATATTCTCATTATCCTCCTTCTATAATAATAATAATACCAATAATTCCTATTCTTTATTATTATTATTATTATTATTATATTTTATACACCCTCATGTACATATTATAGATCAACAGCCCAGATATAATTTGAGTTCCTGCCGCTCATAAACAGCTCAGCATCTCACACTTTGCATGTTTTGAAGGACTGTACATGCTGTTAAATCCTAGGAGAATGTTTTTTCCAACATGCAAAGTGATCTCATGAAACACAGTAACACTGAGGCCCTGCTGATGGTTTGTCACATCAAAGCGTTCTGCTCGTCAAGCGCCTATTGTGGAATTGTCTCCAAATCCCCGTCATATGATCTGCCTTTAATTCAGCCCTAGCTCTTCCCCCTCAAAGTGCCACCTGTTGAATTGCGTAACTGCTCTCAAATCAGTGCAGAGCTTTCTGATCTGGTTCCAGGAGAGTGAGAGTGACATCATCCCAGGCTCCAGCAAACAATATCTGCTCACACATTCAAACAAGCGGACCCAAGTTTAGGGGCCAGCTTTTCAGGTCAGGCATTATTGTGCAAGGGCTTTCTAATTACAAAGACATGCTTGTGGGATCTGACCACTGAATGGCTCTTGTTTGAGGTCCATTCACAAATGATGAAACCCTTCTTTGATGGAAAATGATGTTATAGTACTACAAAAGTACTGCTTTAGGATCTGTCAAAATGTAAGGAACTATAACTGACCAATATCAGGAAACACACTTGGCACCAAAAATCTACTTTCAAGAAACCTCTCTCCTGTTTCACAGCTGCTTTCACAACTTTTTGGCAACACAATCACATATTTACGAAAGCTAATAAAATCAGTAATCAAATTTTGCACTTGGTTGTCAAATGTTTCTTGCTTCCATATTATATCTGTTATGAGTTCAACATTATACATTACAGTTTATCGATTTTGGTTACTGTTCAACATACACCGCAAAAAGTGTGTGTGTGTATGTATGTATATATATATATATATAATAGTTACATAATAACAACAATAATATAACAACTTCATAAATCCATTGAGATATATATATATAATAACAACAATAATATAACTTCATAAATCCATTGAAAAGAAGCAAGAAAAAAAGCGAAAAAGTCTCCAGTTTTAGGCAAAGAACTAATGGTCACCGACAAAATTGCTGGAATAGTGAAGCTATTTCTATGAAAAGATCGTGCATTTGTTTGCAACTGATGCGCTACAACGCACAATTACGTGTCCAAAGACTCACCTGAGAAATCGTCAAACGCTGTCGGGACGTATTTTGTTGGATAACCGTTGGTCGTGTAGCTGACAATCAGGCTGGTTTTTCCCACAGCTCCGTCCCCGAGAAACACGCACTTCAACAGGCGCCCCTGGCAGTGCGCAGGCCGGGGGGATCTGGGTTTGTGTGGCGGCACCGGAGGCGCCATCAGGTTACTGTAATCCATGACGCGCTGCTCGACCGGACCGCAGGTGGACCGCACACTCCTAGTGGAGTGACCCAGGAAAAAAACATCAATAAGAGCCCTCTCAAAACGACTGTGCACTATGAGCACTGCGTAAATGCGCTTGATCCGGTGCAGTGCGCGTTAAGCGTCAATTTCATAAGTTCCAAATACTCAGTAGCTCCACAGAAAACTACAGCCTTGCAGACTCTACAACAGCTGGGTGAGGAGTGAGAGAGGCAGCTTTTATAGTCAGCCTTCATTTGACTAGCTCCTCCCACTTAGCATATTCATGACGCGTGTCCCACTAGAAACAACGGCAAGTGTGTGTGTTAATAGATCTAAAAGGCTATTGTTTCTGTATCTTCAGAGAACTTCTCCAATTTTAACACTGTTTTATATGACATATTCTTCATTTTGCTATAATGTCCTACATTTTAAGCCTATGTCTTATTTATTGCAAGCATAAACATTCATAACGGAAAGGCAGCTTTGTAGCTTTTTAAGTGTGGTGGAAGGTAATGTATATTTTTGTTTAATGCATCTTTTTATTTTCACAAAACTTATTTTGAGATAAAACATCGTCAGGTCCTCTTGACGTCAGAGAACACCTGTTCTACTTTAAGGGGTTTGCAAACATAGATTCATCAAATAATATTTTAAACATTAATCTAAGAGGAAAGTGTGCAACTTAGGGGCTCGCACATTTATGTTTATGATTGTTAAATGTGACCAACAAAACATAAAGTTGACTATAAAAATCACTAAAACGTTGCGTTTATAAAATATAACAATGCCTTTAGGAAAACTGTATAATTCATATTTACAGCACGCTATAATGATAATTTGTATTAAACTTTAGTATCAGAATTGAATAATGTGCCGTTATTTACATCTGATTGATCCCTTTCACCTTCTCCTTTTGGCGACTAGGAATTAAATTGAGCTTTTCTGCCACCTAGTGGTCAATATTTACAACTGAGCTATTTAATATTTATTTTGAGAAATTAATCTACAATATGTATACATATTATGAAACAAAGGGATGCCGAGTAACTGACATACAGTATGATTAAGTACTTTTCACTTTTAGTATGAGTCTATAGTTTTATGTTAGTATATAACATAAAACAGGGAAAGTCGTGGCCTAATGGTTAGAGAGTCGGACTTGTAACCCAAAGGTTGCGGGTTCGAGTCTCGTACCGGCAGGGGTTGTAGGTGGGGGGGGGGGATGTA